AAAAAAAAAAAATACAACTACAAATATGAGTTTATGAGAGAAAAACCAATCAATCAAGGAACCCTCATGAGGAAAAGTCAGTAAAAATAATAGTGAACAGTATTAGACTCTGAAAGATTTCAGATACTGAAGTTATCAGACACAATATGAAGTAAACTATTTAATATTTAAAGAGAAAGGTTGGAAAATATGAGGAAGGACCAAGAGACTAAACACAGCAAGATAGATATGAAGAAGAATCAAATGAAAACTCTAAGCAGAAAAAAAGCAATTTATATTTAAAAGGCAGTGGGAAAGCTTCACTTAGCACAACTGAATAGTGGAGGTAAAGAAATTATACAGAAAGCAGCACAGAGTAAGAAAAAGAGATTGAAATCATGATGTGGTAAGAGATATGGAAGGTGGAATGGGAAAGGTTAGATTTCTCTAATCAGAATTTTAGAAGGAAAACACATGCAGCACACATTGTACCGGAGGCTGTATTTGATAAATAGCTGAAAGCTGATATTATACGACATACCAATACATAGAAAGTCAGTGGATGTCAATCAAGATAAACAAAAAGAAATTCCTGCTTAGACATGTAATCGTGAAAGCACAAAATACAAAACAAACTTCTTAAAAGCAACCAGACAAAAAAGATTACTTTTACATGAACTGTAGTAAGACAACAGGGCCAACTTATCAACAGAAAAGATGGAAAACTTATGTCAGAATATTGTCAGTAGGTGGACATAAGGTATGGATTTGTGATCCCAGAGTTTTATAACAACCAAAGCTTTTTCTAAAACAAGTAAAATAAGGACATTTTCAGATAAAACAGCTAGATGTGGTGGCACCTGCCTGTAATCACAGCACTCAGAAGGCTGAGGCAGAAACATCACTGCAAGTTCAAGGCCAGCCTGGGCTACATAGTGAGTTGAAGGCCAGCTTGAACTGCATAGCAAGACTGTCTCAAAGAAAAAAAAAATTGCTAATAAAGTCATTAAAGGATATACTTCAGGTAAATGGAAAATCATCCCAAATGGAAAGTCTAAAAATGTAGTAAAGTATGATGATTTATGAAAATGGGTCAATCTAAACAGATATTGGCTGAATAGAACAGCAATAATTTCTTGTGGAGTTAAAAGCAAAGATAATTTAAACACATGACAACATTGATGTAGAAGTAAGGAAGAGATTATCAGAATTCGCATGTTTAAAGTCCAAGTATGCTTCCTGTAATTTCTAGGATAACTTAAAAACCTGTATAACTAACAAATTACTATATACTTTACAAGTTTGAAGGGAGAATAAAAAAAAAAAACTAAAAGAAGGCAACAAGGAAGATAAAAAGAAGGAAGGAATAAATCGCTCAAAAAGGGAAAAAATAAAAATTACAATAAATATAAATGAACTAATTGTTCTAGTTAAAAGAAAAAGATGGTCAGAATGGAAGAACATCCTACTATGCTTTTATAAGAGGTACAACTAGAAGATAGAGCTATAGAAATACTTGAATATTGCTGGGGACTTAGCTCAGTGGTGCCGTGGGTGACTCTGAAGTGCAAAGTCCTGAGTTTGATCCCTGGTACTGAAAGGAAGAAAGAAAGAACGAGATATTAAAGTAGTATACCAGACCAATGCTAGTAAAAATAAGTTGACTTAAGTATATTAACATGGCTAGAGAGAGAAACCTACTGCTACTTTAAAATTTAATTTAATTTAAAAAATATTTTTTTTGGTACCAGGGATGGAATTTGGGACCTTGTGGTTGGAAGGCAGGCAGGGGAACCACTGAGCTAAATCCCTGCCCCCCCCATAGTAGTAAAAACCTCAATTTATCAGCTCCATGTGATATTTCTCACCTTGTGTGCACCAGATTTTACACTTGATCTTAGCCAAAAGGCGGAGAAGCGATGTGCACCAGATTTTATAATCTCAAAATATATGAAACAAAATTGACAGAAGAATAAGGAAAATTCACCGTCATAATAAAATATTTTAACTTAACCGTAGTATTTTATTAAGCAGAACATTGTACCACACTCTCACATCCTTTTTTTCTTTTTCTGCTTGATAAAACATTGTATCCCTTTTTTGATTTTTTTTTTTTTTTTTTTTTTTTTTTTATTTTTTTTTTTTTTTTTTTTTGAGACAGGGTCTTGCTTTGTAGCGCAAGCTGGCCTCAAACTCATGGTGATCCACCTGCCTCAGCCTCCATGCTGGGATTATAGGCATGTGTCACCATACGCAGCAATGGGACTGTATTTTGTGATTGATGCTGGTTGGGTTGTTGAACTATAAGGACATGGATATTGTTTGAGTACTGATACGATTTTTGTTTTTGTTTTGTTTTGGTACCAGGGATTGCCCTTCAGCCGAAGGTCCCAAGTTCTATACCCTGTACCAAAAAAAAAAAAAAAGTGGTATGGTGAATATCTTCTCAAACCTTT